AATTTGTTATCTACGTGTATATGTAATGTATTAAATTTATTATTTATGTGTATGTATGTATACATTGTTATCGTGTATATGTAATGTATAAATTTGTTATCTACGTGTATATGTAATGTATTAAATTTGTTATCTACGTGTATATGTAATGTATTAAATTTGTTATCTACGTGTATATGTAATGTATTAAATTTGTTATCTACGTGTATATGTAATGTATTAAATTTGTTATTTATGTATATGTAATGTATTAAATTTGTTATCTACGTGTATATGTAATGTATTAAATTTGTTATTTATGTATATGTAATGTATTAAATTTGTTATCTACGTGTATATGTAATGTATTAAATTTATTATTTATGTGTATATGTAATGTATTAAATTTGTTATCTACGTGTATATGTAATGTATTAAATTTGTTATCTACGTGTATATGTAATGTATTAAATTTGTTAGTTATGTATATGTAATGTATTAAATTTGTTATCTACGTGTATATGTAATGTATTAAATTTGTTATTTATGTATATGTAATGTATTAAATTTGTTATCTACGTGTATATGTAATGTATTAAATTTATTATTTATGTGTATATGTAATGTATTAAATTTGTTATCTACGTGTATATGTAATGTATTAAATTTGTTATCTACGTGTATATGTAATGTATTAAATTTGTTATCTACGTGTATATGTAATGTATTAAATTTCTTATTTACGTGTATATGTAATGTATTAAATTTGTTATTTACGTGTACTTTTAATGTATTAAATTTGTTATTTACGTGTACTTACATGCAAATTGACATGTACCAAATGTTTCATTTATATGTATTAGCATTTTTTTTTCGTACACCAACTCACACAAACACTGAAAATATATGTTTCAAAGTATAAGTATATATATATAAATAAATATATATATATATATATATATATATATATATATATATATATATATATATATATATATATATATATATATATTATATATATAATTAGGTAGTTATAAAAGTAGTTTTGGAAAGTATAGCATTAAATTGTGGATTAAAAGGCAATATTTCCATACCAAATATAATATTAAAATGATTTGTATTTATTTACTTTCCAAAGCTGATGGTTGTTTTGACACTCCGCGCCTAAAGAACGGCTATTTTACTAACTCTGAGGGTAAAGTAGGTCAGCAGAGTCTTCTGATATGTGAAGACGGCTATGTCATTGATGGCCCTGAAACTATCTCATGTTTGAGAAATGAAAACAATAGCGCCCAATGGACAGAACACGGCATTTGCAAATGTGAGGTTCTTAATTTAGCTTTTTACTTTCTCGTATATACGAAGTAAAGAGAAAGTCTTGTAATCGTACAAAAAAAAAAGAAATCAAGATTTTTGCAAATGTCTGTGTGTCTGTGTGTGTGTGTGTGTCCGTGTGTAAACAAGATAACTTGAGTACCGTTACAGCTAGGTTGATGAAACTTCATATATAAGTATTTTATTAAAATCGTAGATCCGTATCAACTTTTGAGCGATTTCCGATAACCGGAAGTGGTACTTTTTCTACTTTGAATTTTTCAAAGCCTATAACTTAAGTACTATTTCAGATAGATAAATAAAATTTGATATGTAAGTAAAAGATGTAATTCTCTACCTTCTGTCAAATTGTGAGTAATTTCCGTTGACCGGAAGTACTTATTTACGCTATTTCCGATTTCTCAAAAAACGCATGTAAATTCATAAAATACTAATAATATTGCGCACTACTATGCACATCTTTATTTAGCGTTCACTTGGTGTGCATTTCTTTTTTCTACGAGATTATATTCTATTTTAAAAATTTGAGTATTTAAAATGGATTAAAAATCATGTCTAGAAGTCTATATCCCGAGTTGCCATCCCCCGTAGTGTTATATTAGAATATTCGAGAAAGTTTAGGGGAGATCACTCCCGGCTTATTTAGTTTGTGACAGCTCAGCTCTCTATTATGGGAATACAAAAAAACGTTGAGTTATTGATATTAGAATATTATATCGAGAATTATCGTATGATAAAAATTTGTTGACAGTTATAGTAGGTATAGTGAGAATGTATTGTAAGAGATTGAGACTGTTTTTTAGTTTAATAACTAATAAGTTTAATATTTATGATTTAAAAATAAGCTGATTACGTGGTATTTATTATATCTAAAATAAATGATCTAACTCTATTTTCACGTTCTGTTAGGTAAAAAATGTATTCAATAAGTAATATAAATAAAGTACGTAAATATAGAAGTTAAAATTTAGATGTATTGCGATTACATAGGGCTGATTTGTGTCACTCGAAAGCAAGTAGAGTAGATGATAAAATATAGAGCTTTGCACATCGTTGTAAACAAAAATCTACAATAGCTTCAAATACAGCGTTTAATATAACTTTGCTATCGTAATACTGGGTTTAGTTTATAGATTTGTTTATTGTTTTAATACACACATAAACTGAAATATACCATTCCTCTCTATATATAAATTTATATACAAATAGAGAATGAGATAGAGAGAACGGATGTATTGATACCTTAGGCCCAATTTTTAACGTAGGTCTAAATACAAGACTAAACAGAATTTAGACTATTTAGTCTGATTTCTTGCTTTCGATACATAAAACTTCTGTGTAAAACACTTTTCGTGTCTTTTAGATTAGTGTATTTACATTACAATAAATCATTTTAAAAATAAATAATTAATTATGTGTACACATATTTCAAAGTTCATGGCTGTTCCGACCCTCCGAGTGTAAACAATGGAAACTGGACGTATTCAAAGGTCAAGGCTGGTGCTGTTAGCAATCTGAGTTGTGATGCCGGCTATGCTGTCGAGGGACCAACCGACATCGAATGTATCAGAATTGACCACAAAACTATGGAATGGACGACACCGGGATCTTGCAGATGTGAGGTTTTTTTTTTGTTTTTTTTTGAAACTTCGACTGTTATCATGTTTTTGCATGAATGTAACCGAGACACATAGGGTAGATGAAGTAGCGTTAACCTCTTTTAACGACCACGGCACACAAGGGGATAGTGTGCTCAGCCGCCTTAGTTTCTTAACGTCTGTCAAGTTCGCACCAGAGCAAGGTTTACTTAGGGACGCCCAACAGATTGAAACATAAGATCCGTACTACAGTTTATGTATTTTTTGTTAATGTCGTTAAAAATAAGTTTTGCTCTCTTTTCCAATTCTGTAATGCTTTAAATATTTGGGGTTTCTACAAATTACAATGCAAAGGTCTAGCAAAAACAGTGCTTGATAAATAAATAAATAAATACATGTATATATACACACATATATAAATATATATATATATATATATATATATATATATATATATATATATATATATATATATATATATATATATATATATATATATATATATATATATATATATATATATATATATATATATATATATATACTCGTGCTACATGAATATGGCACTAACTAAAAATCTCTGTGGTTTGTAACATGTGGTCTTATATATATATATATATATATATATATATATATATATATATATATATATATATATATATATGTATATATATATATATATATATATATATATATATATATATATATATATATATACATATATATATATATATATATATATATATATATATATACATATATATATATATATATATATATATATATATATACATATATATATATATATGTATATATATATATATATATATATATATATATATATATATATATATATATATATATATACATATATATATATATACATATATATATATATATACATATATATATATATATATATATATATATATATATATATATATATTATATATATATATAAATATATATATATATATATATATATATATATATATATATATATATATATATATATATATATATATATATATATATATATATATATACATATATATATATATATATATATATATATATATATATATATATATATATATATATATATATATATATATATATATGTGTGTGTGTCTGTGTGAGAACATATTTATATCTATAAATGTTCATTTTTAATTATTAGACACAAAATGCGATGACCCCCCTAAGCTTGTACTTGGGGAATGGAAAGAGCCGTGTAATCCACTAGTTGGTAGCATCTGTAAGCTGCTGTGCCCTGATAACTACCTAGTTAAAGGGGAGATGTTCATCGTTTGTCGAGAGAGCCACCATAATTCAAATAACTGGTCTACCCCCGGAGTTTGCCAATGTAAGATTTTCTTTAGTAAACCTTCCGTTTGAGGAGTTTGAAAGACAAAATGCAGCATCACTACGCTCAAAGATTTAGTAAAACATGCTGAAAATACTATTTAAAAACATTGTTAAAATTAACAGTTATATAAATGGTCGTTAGACTGTGTTGAGATTTTACTAACACTTCTACTTTTGTATTTAAAAAAAAATAAAAATAATAAGCATGTCAAATTGTTATTGTTAACCGTGTTTTTGTTTTTTTGCATGTAATTTTTTTTGCATGTATTACAATTGAAAAGACTATATTTAAGTTTTGAAAAGTATAATTACCATTTATTTTCCACTTTCATCATCTAAGTCAAATTTTCACCTCGCATGGTTAAAAACTCGATCAGGGAATTAAGGGGTATGCGGCCAAAGATTTAAAAACATGTTTTCGGTTTTTAAAATGATCTTTTTTTTTATTTTCAGTCAATGCATCAAATAAAACGTCTACAAAAGACGTTTCAGAGAATATTATCTTGGAAACAGGTGAGTATTTTTTGTTTGTTTGTTGGAATTGTTAATTACAACAATATATATTTGTCGTTTCTTGAAATCTTTTGTCATAGAAGTCATGCCTTGTAAACTATTACTGAAAGACAAAAATTATAATATTTAAATCATGAATGATTTTGTTTTAACTTGTGGTTTTTGTTCAGGCACAAATCATTCCCTTAACGAATGTCAATTTGGATGGTTCGGTCATCGATGTATGTACAGTAAGTCCAAATTTACGACGGTTTTTGATAATATATTTTATATAGTTGTATCGTGGTGTACACATACTTATACGATATTTAAAACTTAGTTATAATACTTGTTTTATTTTTTTATATATTACGTAGTAGTTTAAACAAAAAAGCCATTTTGTTAAATAACATATAACGTAAACTATTTTAATGTATCTGACAGGAGACTTGACATTGATTGCGAATGGAGTTTTTCCTCCTGAGATTTTAATCAATGGAAAATGCGTTGAAGACACATTTATTGTGGTATACTTCAGAAAGGCAGTGTATTTCGAATCTATTATCATGACCTTTTACAAAGGTAAAAACTGCTGAGCCCGCACTTTAAATATAATACGAAGCGTCTACGTTCTTTTTAAAGAGCGCCCTACACTAGAAAAACGGTGGGTTATTACAATAGATGGCCTGAGACGAACGTACCATAGACGGAGGCTATATTCACGCACTGTGACGCCCCTGATATCATGTAAGTCGCCAAAGGTTGTTATACCTGTTGTTGCGGCCTGGTATCATGTAAGTCGCCAAAGGTTGTTATACCTGTTGTTGCGGCCTTGTATCATCTAAGTTACCAAAGGTTGTTATACCTGTTGTTGCGGGTTGATATCATGTAGGTCGCCAAAGGTTGTTATACCTGTTGTTGCGGCCTGATATCATTTAAGTCGCCAAAGGTTGTTATACCTGTTGTTGCTGAGTGCCTTCCCCCCGGATCGCCTTTGGCGGCCTATGAACTAATCCGCGCCGAAAATTCATAATTTTGAATCTGGGATTAGCTTTTGGCGCAAACAGATACACCCCTCCCCCTCCTTGTGATTAAACGGAACACCTTAAAAAAGTTGGATTTAGCACCTGTCTTTGTAAAATTACTTGACATTATTTTGTTGTTGGGCCCGTTAATTAACTGCAAAGTGCATCGGATCAGCAATGGAGGAGTGAAATGGATAATCTAAATACATTCAAGACTAAAATAAATATTTAGTCTGGTTGTCTCTTGAATCTTCTCCAATATTTTACTTCTAGGCTTTATTTAACTTGGGGTGGGGGGGGGGGGGGGAGGAGGGCGGGCCTGGCTAAGAGTGTGGGGCGGTTACCACCTCACATGGAAAGATTCTTCAAAAACCCTGTAGGCCTCCATTACATTGGTTTCTTCTTATTTGTTAATTTTTCAGTAATCCCGAGCTCTAGAATATATAAATTCGTCTCCAACAAAACAACGGCAGGAGAATGCAGGGAAATATTTGAGTATCCACAGAACACGTACACGCTAGCGTTAGAGTGCCAATTGGTTGAACCCGTCAACCAAATCACGGTCTATTTTAAACAACCTGCCCAGATTTGCGAGTTCAATATCAATGGTGGTAGGCCACAGCTTTTTTTCTCTAACTCTCTGTCAATCTCCATCTTCGATTGGTAATAGGGCTGGTAAGTAGGTCACTAACCAGTTCTATGGCTCATGTAGGTTTAATTGAGCCGTAGAACTGGTTGGTTACCTACTTACCAGCCCTATTCGCATCCTCTCATTCAAACGCCCCTTGTTTGTTGATTTCTATTTATATATCGTTATAATGTTCAAAATATATTAAATACTTTTAATAATACTTTGACAAAATTGTGAATGTCAAAAAAATTTAATGAAAATAAAACATTTATGCTTAGATTTTACAATCCAAAATATATAATGAAAAATGAAGATTTTGAAATTTTAGGTTAAATTAAAAAAATAACAGTAGAATTCATTTTTACTGTGAGATTTTTTATTCTGTGATCATTTTCGGAAAAAAAATGTATCTGGCACATTTCCTCTAAGATATTTATCTAGGATATTTTGTCTGAGATAATTAGTCCATATACCTTAATTTACATTTAAAAATATTTATTTGAAAAATATGAAATATTTTCTAGGTAGAAACATTATGATGGTAGACGAAAGATTTCGGGTTAAAAAACCTGTAACGTTAACTCAAACATCAAGTATCAACATGCCGACCGACGCCAATACGAACGACCAAAACTGTTTCTATATTTGGAAGCAGGGAGAGGAAGCCATGTGGGGGGTTCAATTTCTCGGACCCAAATTCATTCATCAAATGATACTCTTCACCAGCGGTATGATTGTGTTATAAACATTTATTACTCTATTTTCCTTTAAACTCATTCATCACAAGATAATCTAGACCAGCGGTAGGATTATGTTATAAACATTTATTATTCTATTTTCCTTTAAACTCATTCATCACAAGATAATCTAGACCAGCGGTAGGATTATGTTATAAACATTTATTATTCTATTTTCCTTTAAACTCATTCATCACAAGATAATCTAGACAAGCGGTAGGATTATGTTATAAACATTTATTACTTTATTTTCCTTTAAACTCAATCAACACATTGATAATCTTTCTTGTTTTATAATCCTTTATACTCATTAAACAAACGATAATCTACACACGCGGTAGGATTGTGTCAGAAATATGAATTACTTTATTATCCTTTAAACTCGCTCAACAAATAATTATAATTGTGAATAGTATGGTTCTATTTGAGATCTTCACGTTAAAATACTAAAATATTTTATGTTCGCACTTTTAAACCTAGAACTTATTGACGAGTACAATACTACGGAAGTAATAGTCTCTTTGTATTTAGATTATTTGATAGAACATTTTTGAATTCCATATAAAACCAACGAGTAATTCTCCAACCCATGTAGGATAAAACGGCAGTCAGCCAAACTTCTATAGTACTTCTATTTATCTTTAAACACATAGCAGCTAGATAATTCAACAAACCCATCTTTATAAGAATTATGAAACAAAATATGGCTCGTTTGAGAAACATTCACATAATGTACTTAATATTTTAATATTTGTTTGAAAAATATAAACAATGTTTTTTTTTGTAATAGGGAAAATAAAAAGAATTATGAAAAATGTGTCTGTGGCGATATACGATACTGAAATGAGAATGGTATACGAACACAGGATTTCAAATTTAAGCTCCAATATTCTAAACATCGATATCATGCCCAAGCGAGAGGCGTTTCGGATTGTTATCAAAGCATTTGAATTTTTGTCATTATGTGAAGTACAGGCATTTGGTGGTACGTATCATAGAGCACACTATAATGTTGTTATGAAGAAATACGGTTGTCATTAATGTTCACTGTTTTGAAATAGGATACCTCGCTTACGTTAAGTAAATGCGGATGGGCATAATGCTGAACACACTATTCGTTCAAATGCCGAAGTCTCAGAAACAAGTGAACTCTACTTCACTTGCCCCATTGTTCGTTAGGTTCGAAAAGGAAACAACTTTTTTTTTACTTTCTCGTATATACGAAGTATAGAGAAAATCTTGTAATTGTGCAAAAAAAAAAAAAACGAAATTTTTACAAATCTCGACGTTTTACACCTCACTGATTAAAAAAAACATAGTTTTGCAATCTTGTCCGTATGTCTAGGTGTGTCTGTCTGTCTGTCTGTGTGTGTGTGTGTCTGTAAACACGATAACTTGAGTTGCAGCTATGTTGATGAAATTTCATTTATAAGTATCATATCAAAATCATAGATCCGTATCAACTTTTAAGCGATTTCCAATAACCGGAAATGGAACTTTTTTTACTTTCAATTTCTCAAAAGCCTATAACTTGAGTACTATTTCAGATAGATAAATGAAATTTCACATGTGAGTAAAATATCTAACTCTCTGCCTTTATCAAATTTTGAGTAAATTCCGTCGTTGACCGAAAGTAGTAATTTTCGTTATTTACGATTTCTCCAAAAAAAAAAAAAACAAAAAACAACCGCATACGAATTTATAAAGTACTAATAATATCCCGCACTTTTATACACATTTTGCTTGGCGTTCGCTTGACGCGCAATTCTTTTTTTCCACGAGATTATATTCTATTTTAAAAAGTTTAAGAAATTAAAAATAACTAGAATACCCGTCATCCGTTGGATAACTGTGGGTTTCGGGGGGTCATCCATAAAAAAACATCACGTCTGTCACTCAGAGGCATAGCGACCCTTCCCGGCGCCCGGGAACAAACTTTTCGATTTTAACCCCCCCCCCAAGATTTCGATTTTCAACCCCCCCCCCTCAAACTTTCGATTTGCACCCCCCTCAACCTTTCAATTTATTTTTCCAAACCATTTTGGCGCCCCAACATATGTCCCCCCGCCCCCCCTCCACCTCCCCCCGCCTCCCCTTCCCCCCCCCCCGCCTCCCCCCCGCCTCCCCTCCCGCCCCCCCCCCTCCTCGCTACGCTACTGCAGTGTCACTTATGGTCACAAAAAACAGACCCCACATTCAAAAATATGTTTTTTATCTTTTAAAAACACCGAAAACACCGATTTCGGACTATCCCTTCATATACTGACGTCACATGTGACCTACTCAACTCTACTTCACCTGCCCAGTGTCCCGCCAAGTCTCAGACAACTTGTTTTTATCGTTTAAAAAACGATTCCAGCCGAGCATGTCTCTGACCACACTATCCTTTCATATGCTTAGGACAAAGAAACAGATGAACTCTACTTCACCTGCCCTGTATCCTGCCAAGTTCAGATAGGCAACTTTATCATTCACATCTAAAAAAAAAAATATTGAAAAAAAAATATCATTGACATATTGGTCTAGAACCTGTGCCACCCACATGAGAGCGGGCTACGCTACCAACTTAGCTATTTACTCGTGACGTCACAAATGAATTTTTATACTATACTTTTGAGTCTCCGCGCATAGATCTAGTAGTAGTAACTTTCAAATTAAATTTAATCTTAAATTAGCCAAACAAAGATTTATATAAAATAATTAAGGCCTGAAATAGATTCTAGATGTATTAAGGCCTGAAATAGATTCTAGATGTAGAATTTACATTAAGTCTAGATCTAGAATTTACACTGAGTCTAGTAGTGACCTAGAATCTAGATCTAGATCTAGATCTAGGCTAGATCTAGGCTAGATTCATAACTTCCCTTCGACAGCTGATCTTTAGATCTAGAGAAATTTATCGTAAAACTAAATGAAAAAGACAGTTGAAAATTGATATAAGTGTTGGAACGTAATAAATACAGCAAACGGACGTATTGTTTAAGTTATAGCCGGCAGAAAATTAGCTTTGTAACGCGTTAAACTTTTGTATGGGCCACAAAGTCTATGATGAGTCCGCCATTTTTATTGAACCAAAAAGTAAACACATCAAGGGACGTCACTATTCCCACAAAGTTTAGGCAAAGTTTTAACATTTTAAAAAAAAATGGGTTACTCTGCATATGAATAAATCAATTAATTAATTAACGTCTTTAAATTAATTTGTGATCAACAGTCTGTCTGCATTAAAAAATTATTCTCTACCTGCATACTATTTTACAGCTTTCCAGATAGAGTCGAACATATCACAATTTTCGATCAGGCAAACAAATAAATATTCAAACATGTAAACAAACTTGACTTTTAGTAGTATATAGATGTCTATATCCCGAGTTGCCATCCCCCGCAGTGTTATATAAGAATATTAGAGAAAGTTTAGGGGAGATCACTCTCGGTTTATTTTATTCAGAACTAGACAAAATGTAACTTGGTACTAACATTTAGAAGTTGGCAAATGTATTTCGGTACGTCTTTGTAAGCCTCTATTGACAAGTTGGCTGTTAGTACTAGTAGACGAGTCGGAATAATATTCAGCTTGCTTGTTATAGTTAAGGTTTCTGTTAATAATAGGGAAACGTTTACGTCTAGGATAGGAGGGGATGATGGGGCTTGATAACATGTAGATGATGTTTATAGAAGTGTGCAAAAACATGTTGATGGATGTACTAAATGACTGGTATAGAGATTGGAAAGACTTTGTTATAACATGGTTTGTTTATCGAAGTGTAACATAACGAATCTATGGATATAGACAAAGATTTTCTAACAGAATTGTAAGAAAAGGCGTTTATAGAACTGGAACATGACGAGTTGGTTTTTGTTGATTTTCTGCGACGTGCTTGTGGTTGAGGTACTTTGTTTCTTATAGGGTGCTTGTGGTTAAGGTACTTTGTTTCTTATAGGGTGCTTGTGGTTGAGGTACTTTGTTTCTTGTGTAGCCTGCTTGTGGTTGAGGTACTTTGTTTCTTGTGTAGCCTGCTTGTGGTTGAGGTACTTTGTATCTTGTGCAGCCTGCTTGTGGTTGAGGTACTTTGTTTCTTGTGCATCCTGCTTGTGGTTGAGGTACTTTGTTTCTTGTGCATCCTGCTTGTGGTTGAGGTACTTTGTTTCTTGTGCAGCCTGCTTGTGGTTGATGTACTTTGTTTCTTGTTCAGCCTGCTTGTGGTTGAGGTACTTTGTTTCTTGTGCAGCCTGCTTGTGGTTGATGTACTTTGTTTCTTGTTCAGCCTGCTTGTGGTTGAGGTACTTTGTATCTTGTACAGCCTGCTTGTGGTTGAGGTACTTTGTTTCTTATAGGGTGCTTGTGGTTAAGGTACTTTGTTTCTTATAGGGTGATTGTGGTTGAGGTACTTTGTTTCTTATAGGGTGCTTGTGAATGAGGTACTTTGTTTCTTATAGGGTGCTTGTGGTTAAGGTACTTTGTTTCTTATAGGGTGCTTGTGGTTGAGGTACTTTGTTTCTTGTGCATCCTGCTTGTGGTTGAGATACCTTGTTTCTTGTGCAGCCTGCTTGTGGTTGAGGTATGGGACTGAATGCGACAACATCTGTTCTATAACATGCCTGGGCCAAAACTGCCGCATCACCGGAGAGTGCAAAGTTTGTGAGATCAACCGATACGGGGACTACTGTCTGGACGGTAAGTCTCACATCCGACTGTCTGGACGGTAAGTCTCACATCCGACTGGACGGTAAGTCTCACATCCGACTGTCTGGACGGTAAGTCTCACATCCGACTGTCTGGACGGTAAGTCTCACATCCGACTGTCCGGACGGTAAGTCTCACATCCGACTGTCTGGACGGTAAGTCTCACATCCGACTGTCTGGACGGTAAGTCTCACATCCGACTGTCTGGACGGTAAGTCTCACATCCCACTGGACGGTAAGTCTCACATCCCACTGGACGGTAAGTCTCACATCCGACTGTCTGGACGGTAAGTCTCACATCCCACTGTCTGGACGGTAAGTCTCACATCCGACTGTCTGGACGGTAAGTCTCACATCCGACTGTCTAGACGGTAAGTCTCACATCCGACTGTCTGGACGGTAAGTCTCACATCCCACTGGACGGTAAGTCTCACATCCGACTGTCTGGACGGTAAGTCTCACATCCGACTGTCTGGACGGTAAGTCTCACATCCGACTGTCTGGACGGTAAGTCTCACATCCGACTGTCTGGACGGTAAGTCTCACATCCGACTGTCTGGACGGTAATTCTCACATCCCACTGTCTGGACGGTAAGTCTCACATCCGACTGTCTGGACGGTAAGTCTCACATCCGACTGTCAGGACGGTAAGTCTCACATCCGACTGTCAGGACGGTAAGTCTCACATCCCACTGGACGGTAAGTCTCACATCCCACTGGACGGTAAGTCTCACATCCCACTGGACGGTAAGTCTCACATCCGACTGTCTGGACGGTAAGTCTCACATCCGACTGTCTGGACGGTAAGTCTCACATCCCACTGGACGGTAAGTCTCACATCCGACTGTCTGGACGGTAAGTCTCACATCCCACTGGACGGTTAGTCTCACATCCCACAGGACAATAAGTCTCACATCCGACTGTCTGTACGGTAATTCCTACATCCCCCTTTCCTGGCGATAATTCCTACATCCCACAGAGAGGTCGGATGTCACCCGGTGCGGCACTTTATGGTGTCATCCCACTGTATGGACGGTAAGTCTCACATCCGACTGTCTGGACGGTAAGTCTCACATCCGACTGTCTGGACGGTAAGTCTCACATCCGACTGTCTGGACGGTAAGTCTAACATCCGACTGTCTGGACGGTAAGTCTCACATCAGACTGTCTGGACGGTAAGTCTCACATCCGACTGTCTGGACGGTAAGTCTCACATCCCACTGGACGGTAAGTCTCACATCCGACTGTCTGGACGGTAAGTCTAACATCCGACTGTCTGGACGGTAAGTCTCACATCGGACTGTCTGGACGGTAAGTCTCACATCCGACTGTCTGTACGGTAATTCCTACATCCCCCTTTCCTGGCGATAATTCCTACATCCCACAGAGAGGTCGGATGTCACCCGGTGCGGCACTTTATGGTGTCATCCCACTGTCTGGACGGTAAGTCTCACATCCGACTGTCTGGACGGTAAGTCTCACATCCGACTGTCTGGACGGTAAGTCTCACATCCGACTGTCTGGACGGTAAGTCTCACATCCCACTGGACGGTAAGTCTCACATCCGACTGTCTGGACGGTAAGTCTCACATCCGACTGTCTGGACGGTAAGTCTAACATCCGACTGTCTGGACGGTAAGTCTCACATCCCACTGTCTGGACGTTAAGTCTCACATCCGACTGTCTGGACGGTAAGTCTCACATCCGACTGTCTGGACGGTAAGTCTCACATCCGACTGTCTGGACGGTAAGTCTCACATCCCACTGGACGGTAAGTCTCACATCCCACTGGACGGTAAGTCTCACATCCGACTGCCTGGACGGTAAGTCTCTCATCCGACTGGACGGTATGTCTCACATCCGACTGTCTGGACGGTAAGTCTCACATCCGACTGTCTGGACGGTAAGTCTTACATCCGACTGTCTGGACGGTAAGTCTCACATCCGACTGTCTGGACGGTAAGTCTCACATCCGACTGTCTGGACGGTAAGTCTCACATCCGACTCTCTGGACGGTAAGTCTCACTTCCCACTGGACGGTAAGTCTCACATCCCACTGGACGGTAAGTCTCACAAATGACTGTCTGGACGGTAAGTCTCACAACCGACTGTCTGGACGGTAAGTCTCACATCCGACTGTCTGGACGGTAAGTCTCACATCTGACTGTCTGGACGGTAAGTCTCACATCCGACTGTCTAGACGGTAAGTCTCACATCTGACTGTCTGGACGGTAAGTCTCACATCCCACTGGACGGTAAGTCTCACTTCCGACTGTCTGGACGGTAAGTCTCACATCCGACTGTCTGGACGGTAAGTCTCACTTCCGACTGTCTGGACGGTAAGTCTCACATCCGACTGTCTGGACGGTAAGTCTCACATCCGACTGTCTGGACGGTAAGTCTCACATCCCAATGGACGGTAAGTCTCACATCCGACTGTCTGGACGGTAAGTCTCACATCCGACTGTCTGGACGGTAAGTCTCACATCCCACTGTCTGGACGGTAAGTCTCACATCCGACTGTCTGGACGGTAAGTCTCACATCCCACTGGACGGTAAGTCTTACATCCGACTGTCTGGACGGTAAGTCTCACATCCGACTGTCTGGACGGTAAGTCTCACATCCCACTGTCTGGACGGTAAGTCTCACATCCGACTGTCTGGACGGTAAGTCTCACATCCTACTGGACGGTAAGTCTCACATCCCACTGGACGGTAAGTCTCACATCCCACTGGACGGTAAGTCTCACTTCCGACTGTCTGGACGGTAAGTCTCACATCCGACTGTCTGGACGGTAAGTCTCACATCCTACTGGACGGTAAGTCTCACATCCCACTGGACGGTAAGTCTCACATCCGACTGTCTGGACGGTAAGTCTCACATCCGACTGTCTGGACGGTAAGTCTTACATCTGACTGTCTGGACGATAATTGCTACATCCCACTTTCCCGACGATAATTCCCACATCCCACAGTCCAGTGACGTAGAGAGGTCGGGTGTCACCCGGTGCGGCACTTAATGGTGTCATCCCCCCCGGAGGCGTAGCGACCCCCTTTCAATTTTCGATTTGAACCCCCCCCCCCCCCATCCTCAAACTTTCGATTTACACCTCTAAAAAGACTATTTAACACTCGAATTAATCACTTAATTAAGTGGAATTATCATTTTTCTCTATATATTTATCTTTTTTTGCCTTGGTGTCACCCCCCTAAATGGTATCACTCGGTGCGGTCCGCACCCCCCCCCCCCCTCGCTACGCCTCTGCCACTGTCTAGACTTTAAGCCAGCTTGTGCTTATCCACCGCACCACGTTGTCAAATTTGGTTGAAAAAACATGGGAGTTCTGTGAATTCCACCACATTAGTAAGTATGTGCTCACTAACGTATTCCAACAATACATTAACTTGTTGTTGTTTTTTTTGTTCAATCAAGAGTATGACAAGAAAGTCAAAAATGAAACAAACAGCAAAGCTAGCCCAATCCTGCTATCTTCAAATTACGAATCGACCCCCCCAGAAACTATGAGTAAAACATTCTTCGTTGCCGTTTTCACAATCCCATGCTTTTTCATAATACTCTGTGTGGTGGCAAAAATCAGCGCTCGTAAGAAAGCGTATGTATTTTAATCAATTTATATGCAATTTATATACTTTTGGGTTCTTCTGTCTATGGGTACTGAGGACTATGAAATGTATAGCTTACGATACAACAGTCTAAATACCACATAATACTACAAAGGAGTTTAATATGCAATATTTAGCACACTCGTCCACGTCCTCTTCACAAAACCACACGCCAAACAACTGCCATACACCTTAGGACATTCTCTGTCACCCGTCAACTAGGTCATCACATGAACACTTCTCGTTCTACGTAAACACATTCAACCAAGGGCCTTCAACTATGTACAAGAAGGAAGCCGGACGTTTTCCTGAAAGACACTCGGGCGTTTGTCGCATTCGGGCAAGTGTCCATTTGGGGATTCGGCTTTCGGGCAAACGGCATTCGATCCAGTGTCTTTCGGGAATTTCCTGTAGACCCGTACAAAAAGAGGGTACCTGTCGTTCGAGCACACAACACACACAATCAGTGGACACCTCATGTCAGGGTGGTAACATAAACCTCTCACTCTCTCTCTCTTTATATATATATATATATATATATATATATATATATATATATATATATATAATTGCCGTTTTTTTTCCATTTTTAGACCCATAAACAGCTCGAACGAGCCAGTGAAAGAGAAACCAGATGAAAAATAGGAAATTTCTTTTTACCTTCTTGCCAGCGTTGAAATTTCTCGTGTCAATTAGAAGGTACCTTCTGATACCTCAGCTAAAATGATCTGAGGAGTGGTGAGGTGGGGTGCGGTACCTTCACACGATGGCTGGCTGTCTCTATCCATTGTTAGAAAGAGCACTTCACCCCTGGACCTACATCTCACAAAGTTCAAGATATTAATTTAAAAACGTGTCTTATAAATATTTTTCGTCGATATTTTGTATTTTATCTACAACCTGCGGAACAAACACAGCCGTCAGTGTAGTTGTATTTATTGTACTTGTAACTAGTGTTAAAATCACAATTGTCTTCCTTGCTGTTAATACTACTTTGAAGATTGCCTTACGGTTTTGTTCAGCTAAATATTTTATAATGTAAAACTCACACCTTTAGACGTAGGGAGTTTAACTGCTTTGCTGAAAATTGAATATTGTAGCAATGTACACAACTACGAAACTGCATATATATATATATATATATATATATATATATATATATATATATATATATATATATATATATATATATATATATATATATATATATATATATATATATGTGAGTGTGTATTTGTGTGTGTTGCATATTTTGGTACATATAGATTTTTTAAAAACGTGATTGTCAACTACGTTTTAAACTTAATCTCAGCTTCAAAGTTCCATGTAATTCTAGAATAACTTAAAACAAACGAGATTTTCGTATAACTAAATTTTATTCTTGCGTCTTTAGCTTCTTTGTCTTTTTAAAATAATTAATAATGTTCAAGGCTTTGTTATTTGTTTTTAAACACGTTTGGTAAAGTTTTAGTAAGTATCAGACTGTGTTTGTAGCAATATTCTGTTAGCGCTTTCATTCAATGAAATGTGATATAGTTTTGATTCAGCCATTGAACTTTGTTCCCAAAAAACTCAAATTCATCCTCATTAAAAACATGTCTTGTACCATTGATCAGGTGATTATTTTTTTTTATAAATGTTGCATAAATAAGTATTTCACAATACATAAAGTCAATAAAGAATAGTTACATTAATAATCTTGTTCCTAAAACAATACATTTGTATGTATTATTTGTTTGTATGTATTATATGTATTTGGTTTGTTATCATTGGTTGATAACAAATATTGTGAACAAAATACAGGTAAATATTTCTGCCAATTATTTGTTAACATGTCACATTGTCTTGTAAGAAATAACCACTTAGCTTGATAACATTAACTATGTACAATGAGGCGGACCCAATCATTTTTATAGATCTTAACAGCGTATTCAGTCAATTTGTTTTCACTTTTATTTTTTCATTTTTAATTGAAAGAATACACATGCATTATTTCTTTCAAAAATCAAAATTGTGTTTTGTAAGCTTAAGATGCAACTTTATAATCTCCTAAATACAAAATCGCGTAGACTTAAAAACATCACCAGACTTTAGGACGTCGCATTTCAAAAACGTCGATGTCCAGCTCTTCCTGATTAAAACAAAATAACGTTATAAAAATTGTATCTATGTTGTGTTACACATAAAGTTAATACATAATAATACTGAAATATAATTTTTATTGTATTACAATGTTGGCCCGGAATATTCTCTCTGAATAATACAAGAGCGTGTAATTAAGATGACGTTAAAGTAAATCAGAATTTTTTGACCATACTAACCCGAAATGAAGCTATTTTTTTTTGTTAGGAGTAATATGCAAAAGAAATTGCTGTAAATTACACGTTAAATTGGTGACTATATATATGCGCAACGGAAAACTGCGCCGAAAAAGTCGTTTGTGTTTTCTTGAGCATTTAAAGACATTAACAAAGAGTGACCACAAGTACATAGAAGCTTTAAAAATATTTTCTCAAGATATGACAAAATTAAAGTGTATTATTATAATCAGTTTGTATTTGAACATTTTCTGTTTGTTGAGTTTTTCGCTATGCAGTTTTCCTATTGCGCATTTTTCTAGGAACCTTTAAATTTAAATAGTTTTATAAGTTAAAAATAAAAAAAATCTTGACGCAAGGTGAACTTACCTTTTGAATTACGACCTTTTTTTAACCTTTTCTTGCATGGGTTTCCTGCGATCAATTAAAGCAAAACAAGATTTTGCCAACTGTTTTCTGAATCGTTACTTAGAATTACATTACAACTATTTAATTAATTAGGTTTTAAAAGAAAAAAATTACTTGGCTTTTTGGATTTTATTAAATTTGACGATGGACGCTTGGTCGTCGCTAGAATAGGTGGAGCTGTGGTTGTAGTGCTAGTGGCGGCAGCCGTTGTTACTTCTAAGACGAACATATCAAAAACTTTGTGAATAATTGATATTATTCTACATTACATATTCACACAATGAACTCTTTTTCTATATTAAGAAAAAAAAAATATTTCACGTGTATTTTTTAAACGCTGTAATGCCTGCAATGACGGTAAACGGATGTATAGATTAAAAGAAAGATGTATATACGGATGGATTGTTGGAAAAATAGATGAAAGGATATACTAAATATATATGCATTGAAGAATGGATGGATAGAAAATTGATAGATGTATGAATAGAAGGATGAATGGACAGATGGACGCATGGATCGCTGGAAGGATGGCCGGATGGAGGCAGGGTGGATGAGTTGATGTTAGAAGATGTAGACAGTGTAAATATAAACTGCAAAACGTATCAGCTGTGGTTGGACTAGGTGTGGATGTGGCCTCTGTTGCAGTTGTTGGAGCTGCGCACTTGGTAGTAGCAGAGTCTAAACAAAAGCATGCGTTAAAAAAGCCACGTTTCAAAACAAACGATGAATTCTCAATTCTCACATTTTTACTGGAGCTTTGTAAATTCAGACCAAATCGATAAACTTTATTTTTATGTTTAACAACCCCAACTAGTCTAAAGAAATATGTTATGGAAACTACAAAGAATAATGATCTAACTACAGTGTGCACTTACACCATGATTTAATAAGCTAAACACAATAGAAGCTACTGGCATGATAAAGTTAGCGTTAAACTCCATCAAAGCTAAAATTAAATTACGCTTCTAGTACAATAAGAACATTGAATGAACCCTAAAAAAATTCCTTTCATAATTGACAATCGAATGACATAATATGTAAAGGATTAAGGAAGAACACACCAAATAAGAAATAAAAGAAAATTGAGACAGAAGAAAAGAAAATAACATTAGATATATATATATATATATATATATATATATATATATATATATATATATATATATATATATATATATATACATATACATACATATATATGTATATATATATATATATATATAGAGAGAGAGAGAGAGAGAGAGAGAGAGAGAGGGAGGGAGGGAGAGAGAGAAAGAGAGAGAGAGAGAGAGAGAGAGAGAGAAAGAGAGAGAGTGAAAATCTGCTTACTGGGCTCCATGCATAGAAAACTAGTGTTATGTGCACAGCCGAAGTTTTTAGCCTTTCCTAGAGAAGAAATATAGACACAGTCGTAGCCAGAAAGAGAACTTGGATTGCCATCACTCCACATACTGCTCAGTTCTGTAGCTGAGATTTCGTTCTCAACCCAAACGTATGCTGCAGTGGTCTTTTTATTGGCGCCAGTCCAGTAATTCTCATCTAAAAATACAAATATTCTAATGTACTGTGCAACAATAAAGTGGCAGTGATGCAAACATTATCATGTTCTGTAAATCAAAGAAGTTTCAGTAATTTTTTAGACAATATTTTGAATCTTCATTGAGAAAGGGATTATATACCCCTGCGTAACTTAAAAAAAAATAATGTAGAATCTGAGGATGCCGTGGCCTAGCGCTAGAGAACCAGAGAGACTCGAGTTCGAATTCGGGTTTAAATGAGTGGAACGTCCCCGAGTCCACCCAGCTCTAATGAGTACCTAACTAAGGAAACAAAGTCTGCTATCCTTTCATATGCCGATGTCAATGAATCAGATGAACTCTACTACATCTATCCCGTGTGTCTTGGGCACGAACGGGATTAAGAAGTACGAAGAAGAATTGTAGAATCTATCTTTCCACATTTGTCTTCTGTTGGTACTATGGAAAAAAAAATGTCTTGCCCACTTCTTTAACAAGCCCTGGCAATACACAATTACACCTCTATGAAGACTAAATTCAACTAGAAATATGTTTCACGCACCCGGAAGGGAGAGCGATGTCTTGATCCATTCCAATTGTTCTAACGATGTCACGGTAGCCAGAACTCCACCAATGTTGGCACACGTTGTCTGAAGAACGAGACAGAATAGAATGTGAAGGTTAAACAAACACTAATCTATTCACTTATTGACGGCAGTTGAGACTTTAGAGTCTGTTAGTTATAGGCCTATTTAAAATTAAAAAAAAAATGACCTTTTATTTACTTAATTGATTTTCGAATGTAATTTATTCCGTAACAATGTGCAATTATTTTGTTTTTTTTTTTAACTTAAAGGACAATTAGTTTCGTAAAATATAAAAGGTTATAATGTATGTCGTTTGTTACAAATAGAAATGTAGAATATTAGAAAATACAAAATGGCTTTTAAAAAATATATAAAAAAAGTGGAGCAAGTTTTATAAGGATTTAACTAAAACATTTCTTATTGTTTTCACACTAAAACTGGAACTAAAAAATATATATTTATCTATTTTATGAGATGTTTTATTCCTACCAGCGCGTCATCCCAGTTATGGTAAGCATGCAGGAAGAGGAACATTTTCCATCCACAATCTTCGCATCGGCCCAATCTGTATATACATGACAAGTTATTTCATATTTTAAAATATTAAGCACGTGAAAAACATTAATCCATGTCGCATAGTATACTACGATTCAAAAGTTTTATTCCCCGATATGTTTTCCTAACTAAAGGTAATTGTTACATAAAGAATATATATATATATATATATATATATATATATATATATATATATATATATATATATATATATATATATATATATTAGTATCGTATTTCACCTCGTATAAGACAATATTTAGTCCAGTAAAGTCAGATAACATCTAGAATCTTATATTTTAACTGGG